AATGCTTCATTAATTTCAAACAAATAACGCAAAAGCTACTAAATTTTACAAACATTTGTGCATGACCTTCTTTGAAGAGTTAGAGAGGCAAACATCTCTATCTTCAATTTTCTAGTTTTGACTTTTTTTGTTGTAATTTTGGAACAAAACAGCAAAATGGGTATAGCATCATATTTTTAGCGTTCTTTATTACCTATGTGGAGAAAATTTAAAGAAAAGATGTAATGGGATGTTTGAGAAAAATAGTAAATTTCAAGTGTATATTAAGCAAAAACTACTCTTTTTTTTCAAAAATTGTACATTTCCATTTTTAAAGAGCTAATTTTGTACGACAGACAGGAAAACCTTCTATCTTTAATTTTGTAGTTGAAGGAAAACACCAAAAACATTCATACTTTTGAAATTTTCAAAAATTTCGAGTTAACAGAGACAATTGAACCTATGCCTCTTTTATAAGTGTATGTTACTCCATTCTTACAAGAAATTTAAAGAAGAAATTTGGAGCCGTTGGAGGGCTTGTAAAGTACCCCCAAATTGTAAAGAATTTTTTCAAAATTTCAAAACTTCAACTGAAGCCAGATGGGCAAAGGTTTCTTTAATTTGGTTCAAATTCTAGGCACTGTTTATGCGCTAGAAGTGTTTACAGACGGATATACTGACGGACAGACGGACGTTTTGCCGCCAATTGATTTTTCGGTGTCAAGGTGTTGGTGACAAGGATTCTGGCTACACCACGTGTTAGAGGATATTTTTTCTTTATTTTTTAACTCATTTATCCACTTTTTCGTTACAAGGGCCCGGCAATAAGAGTTTTTGTGTCGAAAATTCGCCTTTTTCCGACGCACGATTAGAACATTTTCTCTTCTTACATTAGTATGTGCGACAAAGTAATAATGATTCCCTAAAAGTTAACAAATTGTCCAATTCCTCAACCTACATTGTATTAGTATCGTGAAATGTATGTTATATTGTGCTGTATGTGTAGTCTTCATTTTATGAAATACTATTTTTTAAAGAAACATGTATATTTCATTATTAAGTGTAATGTTTCCTGGTATTGTTACTAACACCACTAAACATACTATTTAGCAGAATGTAATTTAGATTCTGGATGCATGATTTGATGAAAATTAATCATTCACGATAATTTCAGTCAATAAATAAGTATTTCTTTGGTTTGATGTTATTTTTTAGGAATGAATCACGAATTTATTATTAGCTTCTATGCTTTACGTAGTGAAGGTTGAGTAATGTCAAATCAGGAGCAATGTGTCAAATAGACAAATAAGAATCTTTCAGTGATTTAGTATAAATATAAACCATTACAAGAACGTATGTGTCATTTTGCACCGTTACTTACACTTTCATTTATCATGATTAATGATTTCTTGGTGTCGATGATGTTAGTTCCTGATTGCAGAGGCTATTAACTTTTGTATTTCTCGTGTGAGTTGACTAGTCATGAAGTTACCGAGCGTTTACTTCGTGATATTTTGAGTTTCGTAATACTTAATTATTATATCCGCCTCTTCTTTTATGTAACGATTTTAGTAAATGTCTCATGACACTTGCTTTTCACCTCGTAGAAACCCTATGATCCTGCTGGTGTTTCAGTCTAAACGGAAAGATATGAACGTTGTTCTGCGATCAATAATTTTTAAACAACGTATATTTTTTTAATTCGCTTGAACTTTCTCTATCTAGATTCTTCTATTCGTGTCGAGAGCTTCACTTGTTGATCCGAAATCTTGCTAGAAGTGGGTCAAAGTGCCTGGTAAAAAATTTAACTTACTGACTTTTGAATTGACCTTTCAAATCCGTAACAATGTTATGTCGCGATATGGACAAATTTCAAGCCGAATAATAAAAATCAGAATTTATAGGCTGAGCTTCATCACTGCAATAAAGGTAAAATAGTTTTTAATCAAAAAACCGTCACATTAAGATGCGAAAGAATGCGCAGCCCTGTAAGCAAAAAGATCGATTATGTAATTCAATCTAGTTGCTAAATTCCCCACTTCCAGGTTACATAATTTCAGTTTCTAAAAAAGACTCCGTAACACACTATACTAAAAATATTTGCGAAAAACCTCACAGACCTTTTCACGGGAAATAACACACGTTACTGCATTGGCTCATCGTATGTTTTTCCTTTGCTAGGTGAAATGCTTTAAGTTTTGTCTTAAACCATGTCTTGTCTTAAACTCTGTTTGCTAAAAATAATTACATCTAACCATATATGGTTGCATTATCAATTTTATTACACCATCTGAAAAAGTTTATCCGTATATGTTCAATAATTGGTTAATTCGGTCGTAATAATTGGTTAATTCTAAATCACTTATTTTACTAATTAAATTTCGTAATTCTTACCGTAAGTGCAATGTTGTTGGTTTTTTTCCTTAAAATAAAAAAGTAATTAAATTGTGTAAATTCGCTATTTGTGTTAATTTTTCATTGTAAGTAAATATATTCATTTATTTTGTAAGTAATAAACAATTTACATGCTTCTGGGTGCTTATATGTGTCTGAAATGCAAATTTTTTCAGAGAAAGCCTTTTCTCAAATCAAATTGTTAGGGCTTATTGCGGCTCAGCCTTTCGAAGGAGTAATAGGACAAAATATGCTTAAAACTTATTTAAGAGCTTTGTTTCGGAGTTTCTTTGTTTCTTCCCTGGTCAGCCTGTGTATATATTCTGCCCTTTCAAGAAACACCCTTCTATATAGAATGGTTCCCTATGGCACGTCATACACAGTTTTTAACTGTTTTGACGTAAATAAATAAGTAAGCAAATATTTCTGCTCTTACAAGAAGTAAAGGTTTCACTTAATTTTAATAATTTTCCGTTCTAGGATTTGTAACCGTGGGCACTATTTTGTTGGCGTTTTTTAAAAGTGCCGATTTCTCAAATAGATACGAAAATATAAACCTGAAACTGATTAATTTTAGTTGACTTTCCAGGACGGGAACTCTTGTCATTGACGCCTGCAGGATGCCTTGTACTTGTTAGTACAATACGTAAATTTGGTCTTTAAATAAGGATTAAATATAATATATTTACGTACTCTGCTGCATACATGCATATAACACCTTAAAACTTCTTTATTACTATAGTTTTTCTTGTTTACTCATAGAATTAACGAAACATACAAACATGCTCAAAAAAAAGAAAACAAAATATTAACACCCATTGTGAATATAGTATTTAATCAGAATTAATACTATTAAATTCTTTTTTAACCATAAGTCAGTATTCAAAGCACTGTCAGCATTCAACGTATTATTATTATTATTATTATTATTATTATTATTATTATTGCAGATAACACGATCGCATTTGTCTCTCTTCAGTGTTGATCAAAGAATTATTACTTATTAACTACAAAGTAATCAGTCGACTGCACTGACCCAGATAAACCTTCTTCCAAATGTCCGACATATGAAGCTCCACTTGCAGTCACGTTTTCATCACGTAGATCATTACCATTGCCATTCTTTGTTCTCATCTTCTCAATTTGTGATTGTTTTCATCTGATGAAACATCCTATATTGCTTTTTCTATATCTTCCTTATGTAGAATAGAGAACGCCATTCTTGACGAAATGAATGTTAACTAAACAATCTTTTGTCACACACACGGCGGTATACATTTCAGTGATGTAGACCGTATGTATAAAAATGTTCCACCAGCTCGTGCGTGTTTCATACTCGTAGCTATGTAATCAGTTCTAAAGTAAATTACATACAGAATAAGTATGACGTCAGTCCAACTGTTGGTTCTCAAAGTATTCGTCAGATAATACTGTAAGCCCCAATTCGAGCCCATATTCTCATTCAATCTACAAATTTCAGTTAAAATTGTTTCACTTGTAATTTCTTCAATTCACGTGCTTGAACGATAACTTACTTCAAATAACAGAAATCAATTTCACAATTTCTGAAATAAAATAATGAACAACTTAGTATTTAACGACGACGAAACTTTGTCATTTCGTTAAGGCCCATTCACAATGCGAACATAAACATAAGCATGGAGTTAACATAAAAGTTAGGACTACGTCCACAAACGGACTGATTCACAATGCGTTCGCATAAGCATAACAGGTAATACGTTAACTTAAAAGCTTGCAAGCTTCAAGCTTCTGTGCTTAGACAAAACAAATGAACCAATCCCAGAACGGTAACTCAAAATCGAGAATCAAAATTGGAGCGAAATCGATAGAAGAACTAACATCATATGGGCCATGGATACAGTCGATACCTTGAAATCGATTCTCACATCCAACCAATAGTAAACCACAATGTTTCACAGCCAATAGAAACCCTAATTTTGCTTGCGTTTATGTTACACATTGTTAATACTTCAGTCTTCAATTATGTTAATGTTTGTCTATGCGTTATGCGTATGTTTACGTTTGCATTGTAAATGGGTCTTTATAGTTTGTATGTCACATAATGCAAGACGTTCGTTTAAAATGATACAAGGTCTATATTGCTTCACAAATATTATTCCTTCCCGATCTCAAATACAGAACGCCTGCGGGATATGCAACACGGCAATCTCTCCTGTTCGGCAGTTTACTAATATTCAATAATTGCAGGCGCGTAACAAATCGTCAAACAATCGAGGATTAGCTTGACAGCAATTACAAAATTCTGCATGGGACATGTCTACGATTCATTTACTTTAAAATCAAATATATATAAATTATTCCACTTTTCTCTAACTGAAAGACAAAACTTAAATTGGACGCCAATTGTTATTCTTGCATCAAAAACTCAAAAGTATTTTTTTTGATACGCCATTAAATTGTATTTTTTCAATACAGTCTACTAACTGGCAACATTGCATAGCCACTGTTGCAACGTTACATAGCTGTTGTTTGTACCTTTGGTACTCCAAGTCATGTACTTAAACGCCATTTTGGCAACAAGAGAGACATTCGTGGACAACCGCGCGTGGCTATTCATCCGTGTAATGCAGTGACTTCTGCAACAGCAACGCATAACGTGCGATGTGTACGTGAAATGCGTGTGTGTGTTTGTGTTGGCAGCGGAGTACATCCACGTGTGCCAGCGGGACGCCCCTGACATCGACGCCTGCATCAACGCGTCCATCAACGCCTTGCGGCCGCAACTGCTCTCAGGTACGCCCCAACGCCACCTCTTCTCCCTCCTACCCCTCACCAACCATCACCTTCGCCCTAATGGCGGCTTATAATATTTTCTTAAAAGGAGGAAAGATCGATTGATTGATTCATTGATTCATTGATTCATTGATTCATTGATTCATTGATTCATTGATTCATTGATTCATTGATTCATTGATTCATTGATTCATTCATTGATTCATTGATTCCGTCACTGAAGTTTAGCAAGTGTAGCATTAGCAAGCAAGCATTAGTTTCACAAGTGTAGTGCGTGTTTTTGTCGCGGGAGGTGGCGGTGATCATCCATCGCTGAATGATGAGATCCGGCGGCATGTACATTTTCACCTTAGTTACGGTTTTGTAATATTATAATGCCACAATATCCCTCCATATTACCACATTTTTACTCATCACTAGTGAAAATCATTACAAATCTTAGAATATAAGGAGGGGAAAAAATGTTTACACCAAATATCACCATCACAAATTCGACATTTAAAACTCCGTTCTACTCATCCATAAACATCTCCTAGCAATGAGAATGAATTGTCGTAATTTCAGTCTGTCGAGTTGCGGCACGGCGATCCCGCGATGTCTTTGTATTGCACTCTGATACGCCTCAACGACTCCAGTAAATGAAGCGCGGCAAAATCGAAATTTCAAAGATCTACAAAAATTACGCCAAACGAGCGAGCCTACCCACAAAACTTTTATCCGGGCGCCCTGATTTAATAGTATATAGGAAACACAAGTAGTCTACCTTAAGTAATTTAAATATCCTTTAACAAATTCGAATTCATAACCAATGGAAGAAAAACCTACCTTTATTATTTAATTTTATGAAATTAAGACTGTAATAAAACCTAAATGAATTGCTTACATTTATTGATTTAGAAACATGGTTACAGAAGCTACCGAATCGGAGAAAAATCGTTTTTCTGAAATATGCTATTTTTAATCATTGTATCAACTATCACAAAGTAACAGAAAAAATAGCAAGTAATTAATATTTCTTACAATCGCAAAACGTTGAGCCTAAAAATAAGCCCTCTTTTACCTGGGCCCACCCGCATTGCGAGTTTTCCGGACTCGAAAGTTACGCCACTCCCAACGCCATTTCATACCGATCTTTGCTACATATGGCAAAATAAAATTTAAAAGAAAAACTTTAAACCTTTTTTGAAAAAAATATTTAAAAATGGACTATGTTTCACGTAAAAACTACTCATATTTTCAAAAAATTGAACATGATTATTAGATTTGTTTTTGATGAACATATTTCATTAAGGAAAAAATTCTATCTTCATTACTGTACTTGTAGGAAGGTACCGAAAATATTTTAAACTTTTGCAATTTTCGAATATGCACGGAGTTCAAGGAAAATACGACCTACGCTATTTCCCTATGCGTCTTTTTCTCTGTCAGAGGAAAAACGATAAAGAAAAAAATTGGAGCTTTTTCTAGAAAATTATGAAAATATTGTCGAGACTTAATGTTAAGTACTCCCAAAATAAAAATATCCGTTTCAAATTCAACGGGCCGTGACACCAGTCATGTTGATTGGGAAATATCAATTTTGATGAAAAACCCTACTTACGGTTGGTCGGACGTTTTGCCGCAATCCAATTTTCCGGTATCATGTGAATTCTGACTACACAATGTGTGAAAGAAAGTAATTTAGTACTTATACAAACATGATTTATTCACGTTTTACTAGGACCTGAAAATAAGTTTTTGTGTAAACAATCGTGTTTTCCCCCACAGCATTACAATACTTTCTCCACACTGTGCATGCAATAGACGAGAAAGTAAAAGATAGAGATTTGAGAAACGTATTTCCAAAAGGTACTATCTCTACTTTACATTTTTTTCAGTAGAAAAAAATAAAAATATTACTTTAATATTTCTTACATTTAATGACTCATTTTTCTTTAGACACAGTCTTTAGACACTTCAGACACAATATTATTATTCTGTTTATGCAATTACTTTTAATGTAAGTAATGCAAAACATTTTACATTAATAAATTAAAATATTTATTCCTGGTGATGCAGTATATGTTGGCTTTTACGAAGAATAAAGTTCATTTTGCCACAAAATGTATTGAATTTGTTACTTTTGTGACATAAAACTCTTAAGTAAAATACAAATATTTCTAAATTTAAAACTCACAATTAAAACTGACAAATTTACTATTGAAGGCAACCACAGGTGCAGCTGAAGCATATCTTTGGGGAGGGTCGTAATTATTTGCCCCTTATTGGTAGGCAATTTGGCATGCACTGGTGTGTGACTGATCACGATCGATCGCAGTGAAAAATATTTCATGTTCCAGCCAGACACCAAGGCGTAAGGGGTTATCTACCAATCAAGGGCAAACAAATTCCCCAGCCCCCTCCGAAAGCAAACATAAACCGCACCGCTGGTTACCTTCGATAGTAATTTTGTCGGATTTGTAGGATAGTAATTTGTCTGAAGGCTCATAAATCATCACAGATAGCGTATTGTTTGTGAATTATTTATTTCTCTATGAACTGCTACCGGGAGAGGTGGCTCAGGGCATCAACTGATGTCACTGCAGTCCCTCTGTCCGTGAGGTCGTACGTCAAGAGTCCCGACGGTGGCAGGATTTTCGACACTAGCTTGTTAGCTAGGTCCTCCTCCCCCTTTTTCTTGGTGCCTTCTAAAATATTAATGCGACATAGCAATCCTCTACAACACAAATGCTTGGACGGATAAACGTCGAGCAGGTTGCCTAATAAAACAATTGACAGGTGACAGCGATTCAAAGTGCTCATCTAAATTTATTAACTGGTGATGACTAGTTTCTTCTCTAAATATCATATGATCAAGATAACGTAAGTTAAATTACATGAACTGCTATTGATAACTATAAACAAACTATGATTTTATTTTCAGGGAATATTCAGCATTCTTAATAAAGAAGCTTTACAATGAGTTTCCCATGTGTAACTATAGTAGAACCCCTGTGTTCCAAACTAATTGTGTGTGTGGCTTGATCAGATTCGGAAATTTTCGGATTATCCAAAAAAATGTACCGTACATACATAAATACATTTACAGAATTACCAGAGAATTCAACGTAGCGTGCGATGTGAAAAAATGGCAACGTAGCTTAGCTATCTATCATCTACCAGATTCAGTTCCTTATGTCAAAAGAAGATTGTCAATTTTTCCAGTTCCTCTAAGTGAAAATTACTGCTACATGTACATGTGATATACACCAGTAGTTACCAGTGCAATAAACGTTACATTTCGACAAGTTGTGTTAATAATTTGTTGCTTACTTCTACAGTAATTATAAACTCATTTCTTTACACTACAAATAAACATTTTATTTATTTTTTATTTTTCCTCCACCCTCAATTTTGATCGGATTATCCGAAATTTGAGGGGTTCGTATTAACAGGGTTCTACTGTATTTTCAACTAATAAAATTTAAAAACAAATAAAATTATGTCCTGCTTGCATTGTTTTGATATACACAGGCCTACCAGAACTGGATGTTCCACCTCTAGATCCTGTAGCTCTGGACGAGATCAAGTTAAGCCGAGGACCTGCGGGTGCACTGTTCGAAGCAACGATTCGCAACATCAAAGCCTTTGGAGCACCCAATTTCATAATTGAAGAACTCAAGTAGACAAACAATTTTATACTACCTTACTCTATATATTAACATTTATTATTGAATTTAAGATGAGCTGCTGAGAGGTGGAGCAGTATAAGTTAGTTACCCTTCATTTTACACGAGAGGGTATTTGTGTCATCTGATAAAAAATTACGTTGCAAGTAAATAACCTAAGTAAGAGTGATTATATGTTCTAGACATGTTAATTTTTATTGAACTCTACTAAATTATCTTTTTTATGTCAAATATTGAAAAAAATACTGTCGTAATCAAAATACATATGAGTGTAATTCAAATTTTTCTAGGGACTTCATGGATTAAATGGAAACGTAAAATTTTATTATTTCCTCTTCTTCTTTTTGTCTTCATCAGTATCACCTGGTAGTACTGCATCTTGTTGTTCTGTAACATCAACCTGCTGCGAATCATCAAAAAGAGTTTTACCGACGTAAATTTTATCTATGTAGCAATCAGTATGTTGCAATCAGTAGTCAAATAAATACAATAACCAACGGCACGTTTACCAGTGAACACTTATATACCATTGTGCCGCGCAGCACATTCGTTGATTGTTTCAGTTCTTCTCACAGTGCTGCTGCGAAACGGTCACTACGAAAGTTACTCGTAGATTTATGACACTGCCTGAGGACGTAGTGCACCCAGGACTATTCAAATGTGAAATAAGTCAAAATCACGATAGTTTCAGTGAAAATACCACATTCTCAGTAGCTCAAATAATGAACACGTTTTGAAAACTTAAACTTCATTGACGTGAACATTAGTAAATTACATCTATTTCAATTTCAAATGCATAAAACATTTATTAACACCATTTTACCATCTACAGAACTGATCTGGAGAAAAATGTCTTTGATTTCAAATTACTACTTCCCAAAATAAATTTTCTGGGTGATTATCAACTCCGTATGAATATATTATTAATTAATATTTTTGGTAAAGGACACATCACTGGTAATTTTAGTAAGTTTTTCACAATTCCCATTAAAATGTAACTTTTTTAACAGTTCAATTTTACAAATGTTTTGAGGACCATAAACTCATTATTTTTCTATATTCTTTTATAGCGAACTATAAATGTGATTGTCATTTAAAAGGTAATAAAGTCATTATTAATGGTGAAGAATACTTGAAATTTGATCGAATGGGCCTCAAACTGAGCATTGGTAAAGCCAAATTTTATATGAGCAATCTATTTAATGGAGATCGTCTTCTAGGTAAATTAACTCTAGTTGAAATAATTTTCTAATATGCAATACAATATAATTCTAACAGTATCTGTATTTTCAGGTGAAGCTACAAACAGAATAATAAATGAGAACGTTGACCTCTTATTAGCTGAAGTGTTACCAGCTATGGAAATATCACTGGCAAACGTGTTTACAGACATTGCCAACAAAATTATGCTTTCGTATCCCTACGACATATTATTTCCGCATAAATAATTTTATAATATATAGGATATTTTGTATACCAAAAATTTTCTCAAAGTGACTGTGAGAAAGTTTCTTTATTGTACAATAAAAATATTACTTTTATATTTTAGTACTTAGTGTAAACTTATTTTATCTCTGGCTCTTTTGTGAGCAGTAATTCAGATGCCCAAGGTTGGTGTTGAAGAAATTCTTGATGTGCAAGAAAATACTGTAGGAATACTTTTTACGAGCATCTTTCAAGGTATGAATTCTTGGCTATCCGGGAGACGCCGCGTCGTTGGCTGGGGTCCCGACGTTTCGCCGACGGATAGCCGAGAATTCATGGATTCGAGCCGCGGAAGCTTACGTATACATCTTTCAAGGTACTTTTAGAAAGTATACAAAAACGCGAGCAAAGCCATGTTTAAATTAAGGTTTCAATAGTTCTGTCATCGGGTGCAACATACCAATACGCTTTTATACTAAACTGGATTTCTTAAAATAATTACTAAAGCTTCCTTAAAAACGCAGAGTTCGACGAATAAATGAATATTCCCTCCGTTTGATCTTTCCGCCATGGTTTGTTGTATCTTGAAATATCGATAGCTTGAAACAGGACTTTTTGAACAAGCAAGAGAACATTTTTCGACTGTACTAAGTCGAATTTGAAAAGAAAGATTGTGTTAATAGTTATTTAATTTTCTAAATAAATTTAATTTACGTTTGCAAGCTGTTACGTAATTAGACTGATATCAGAACGCTCACTCAAACAAAGTCATCAAAACTGACCATAGAGTCGAGAAAGCTACAGTGCGAACTTGTAGCAATAACCTGATTACATTTCTCGAGTAATCGGCGCTTCCAAATGTCCCAACATACTGTGTAGCCAATAGGCATCATGGCATGTATATAATATTACATCTTTGTCTCATTTTTTCTCCGCGGTCCTATTTTCACCCCACTTGACGGTATGCCATATTATCTCAAACGGAAATGTACATAATATACACAACAAAATATATACGAGGAGCGTCAGGCTCTCCAAATTTTAAAGAATTCTAAACAATGAACAATGCACTATGAACTTTATTTTCTGTTCCGTTCATTTAAAGGGATGTTCTATTTTAGCTTTGACTGAAATGAGAGTCCCAAACATTTGGTTAGTCATTGGCACATCGTTCATACTCAATGGAGTGTAGAATTGTTTATTTGAAATAGGACACTACCTTGAAACTGTTTTCCGTTCGATAACGATTAATTTAATATTATGGAACATTGATACTTTAAAAAATGGTAATAAAATGTATACTATTTTTAAAGATAATTTTAACGGTGGTCAATACAGGTACTATTATTGTTAACGATAATTTCATATTGTTTTAATAATTACTGAAATAATTATCTATTTAAGCAATGCCAAAATTATTGCCCCGTTCCCCCGTATCAATATTACGATCAATTATTAAAGTTAGAGTGCATCTAAGACTTTCAAAAAACATTACATCCTACGTTTTAATGATATCACTCAATGTATACATATAGTTTATAGACAATATCACGCTAATATTCAAATAAAAAACATTCCAAACATTGCTTTTAACACCTCCAAAATACCACGATAAGTCAGGCTCAAAAACGGCAGATGAGAGCAGGGTCACCCAGAGAAATCCAGTAGCTTGAGGCAGTTGATCCACGGGACCCCCTCATTTCAAACAAAAAGTCCCTCCTACCCAATTCATGAGCAGAATTAATTTCTCCATGCTTCAGAAATAACTTGTAGCATTAACAGTGGATTAGAGATATTTTTTTATTTATTTTGAAAGAAAAAATCGAGGCCCCAATTAAGTTGAGGCCTAGGGCAAGTTGCCCCTCCTCTTTCGGGTCGTCCCTGGATAAGAGTAGTTATTTTTCTTGAGCCATAGCGAGATTAACGTGCCATTACAGAGCGCGAATTGTGAATACAAGTTTGTTAGCAAATGTATCCCAAAAAGAGCAATCGATTCTTTGGCCAGAAGAAAACTACGCGACAAAAAGAATCAATACGCATAAAATCTATTGAAAAATAAAATAATTATTCAGTCCATCTACGCCAATTTCATGACATTTCAACAAAATTAGGCTTTCGGTTGTTGTTTTTTTCTTACTTTCTGCTTTCGAAGATTGCCGTCCCTTTATCTCGTGTCTGGTTAAGTCTCGCTCATTACGAGTAGGTCTTTAGTGAAAATTTTGAAAACAATAGCGATGCCATTCCTCTTTATTTCTACTGGCGCATGCACTCATCTAAGATATTTTATGCTCCTTACCTTATCAGTAAAGTATAGCAAGAATCAACTTATTGGGAATTCAGTCAGTCGATGTCATACGGAATTGTATCCGCAGTGCGCGTGAAGTTCGTGTCTGGTTTTGCAGGGACCTCAAATACATTAATACATTACAGTTCTGTGGGTTATATAAAGTGAAATTCACCACATGACCTGCTGAATTGAAGCACTTCGATAAAATGCAAATCGTCAATTCACATCGAAAGTGTGCGAGTCAACCCGGTAACTTCAGTTGTGTTTGTGGAAGATTTACACCCAAACGTCACGGAAAAAATACATGAAATGACAAAACTTGCGTATTTGTAATACTTTGGCAGTCGAGCTTATGATCAGGATAAACCATAGGCTGCTCACGAGTGTTGTGTCACCAGTACAACAAACCTTAGGTTGTGGTTGTATGGAAAACTCAAATCATTGTCATTCGCTCTACGAATGTTGTGGAGAATACTAACAAACTATTTTAATGACTGCATATTATTGCACAAATATACGTATTCCATTTTAAACTTATTCTTATTTATTTTATTATTTAATCATATTAAATAAAAATTATAATACTTAATTTGAAGCATTCTCATAAAACTTTGTAGAAATATAACCGGAGTGACAATGTGAAAATAGTATAGGATTTTGTTTATTTCAAATGCTAAATATGTTCATATCTTTTGAACCTTGCGGGATAGATAATTTTTATAATGATTTTCGAAAACAGCGTGATCGTTTCCTTTGAAATTTCTACTTTCATCCTGGAGGTATGAAAAGAAATATTATTTTTGTTCCCTTGTGTTATTTAGTAGGCTACTTGTTAAGAACCGTATATATTCAAATGCTCAAGGCGAGATCGTGACAAAATATCGCACTTTGAGAAACATTTTAGTCATGTGACTCATGACACACTGATCTCGCGCACGCCATGAGAATTATCGTATTCTAAATAGCATCAACAGTAGAAGTAGTTTCGTACGCGCAAAAATTAAAAGAAAAATGAGTAGCCTATGGCCATGTGAGACATGTCGATGGTTTCGTTACGTGACCCAGGAACTTGGGGGAGGGGGGAACAAATTTAATGAAACACACTGGATTTTCATGTTTAAAAAATGCAAATATTTGATTGTTATTCCGCCTGTTCTCAGACTGCGCACAATAGCAGAGGAATTCTCAGTGCTTCACTGCTTATGACAGAGACATCATGCAATAGCGAGGCTCTAAAGAAGACCCCGCTCCTATTAAATATTTGCTTTCACGCGTTGCGTTATGCAGGCGCGAATCCACGGAGAGAAATTCCCCCCACTAAAATTTTTCATTAACTATTGATTTTAACTTGTCATGAAACTTCCAAGCAAAAATATTTTTGGATAATCATTAAAAGGAATAAAATCGTATCGCAGCATGAGGTGAGTGTAGCCTGCGACATTTTACAAGATCTGTAATATGTTACTTTCAACCAAAACATTTTGAATTTCCCCTCCCAAAATTTGTCTCTGAATCCGCCCCTGCCTTATGGAAAAACACAAAACAAATTTGTATACTTAGATTTATTTATCGTGGCCCTTGAAGTTTAACTTTGGGTTAGTTATACTCTTTGGTTAGACCAGGGGTTTCCAAACTGTGCAATATGATAGGGGCGTCGCAGTGATTTATTAAAATGTTCTTTAGATTTGATTTACTTTAATACGTGTGTCATTGAAGACCACAAAATAATTTTGTTCTCTCGATGTATATGTTATTTGTAATATATGTTATGTATTTTACTTCTTAATTATAGATTAACTGAACCTGGCAAGTCCTTTACCAATAAGCTTCTGTACTCCTTAAGCATCGATGTACATCCCTAGCGCGATGTACATCCCTAGCGCGCGCGATATTAATATTTCTACCCACACATTAAGGGTTTCCGTGCCCACACGAGCTATGCCCACCCTATGTATTGTTGCGATCGAAACTGAACGTCGAAAAAGAAAATTGCGAGTCGTAGTTTCAAATTTTGAACCCAGATTTGAACAATTTGAAAAAGCAAATTCAGCCTTCCATTTAATTTTTAGAAGAATTTTGTCATAAAATTAAAAGTTGGATAAAATGTAATATTTATTTTAATATCCAATTAACATGGAGAAATAAAATAGACTATTATATCACTTACTCATTCGTGTTGAATCTTTAGTAGGCTTATGTTAACCCTTATTCTTGAAACGTATTGTTATCCGGGCAGCCGCTTTAAGTTTCGTTTAGTTCAAGGGAACCGTGGACGAAAAACGTTTGAACCATGGATCTCGCCTTGAGCATTTGAGTATATAAATTTCTTAACAAGTAGCCTACTAAATAACAAGGGAACAAAAAAACCATATTTCGTTTCATACCTACAGGATGAAAGTAGAAATTTCAAATAAAACGATCACGTTGTTTTCAAAAATCAAACTACTACTATGGATGAGTGCTGTGTTAATCTATAGTTAGACCACAGTCTATTTCAACAGTCTTATTACTGTTTACTATAGTTGTGAAACTTCTCTACCGTTACAAAAAACTATGGAATATCAAAGCAGGTAAATGAAATAATACAGATATTACTCACAGACATACTAAGAGGACCTCTCTGTCTGGGGTATTACTACTGTATACTTCTGTTTATTTAGCGGCATTTGACAGAAGCCAGCTGTTATGATGTCATCCAATCGGGTGCAAACGTCACTACAGTGACGTCACGAATATACAACCACATGTAAGCAAACCACGTGGTTTCACAATGAAAACTTCCGTGGTTTCGAAGAGTGCCGGCAGAGGTCTAGAAGAGGTTATCTAACACATCTTACACGAATTTTTAGTTCCTGCATAGGTTAGGTATAAGTTACGAGTGTGAAGTTAGATGTGGAAAATGGTCATACGTTGAATGTAAATATTTTTGTAATAAATTGTAATTTTATAGTTAGAAGCCATGGTTTTGTCCGAATATATTTCAACACTCTCCGAAAATCCCTATTTTGGTGCTGGGTTTGGTCTTTTTGGAGTTGGGGCAGCAGCTGCAGTGCTTAGGAAAGCTTTGCAGGGTTCTGTTATATTGCTTCGGAGGCATTGTATGATCACATTAGAGGTCCCCTGTCGCGATAAAAGCTATCAGTGGCTTTTACACTGGATAACTCACAAAGGAGCCAGACAAACTCAACATCTTAGTGTTGAAACAAGCTTTGAACAAAAGGATACGGGTCGCATTCAAACCAAATATGATTTCATTCCAAGTATAGGCACCCATTTCTTCAGGTATGTAAAGTAAAATATATAATATAGTTATGCAACCCATTAGTCAGTGATGCTCACATTGAAATATCAATTATTTCAGGTATAAAGGACTATGGATAAAAGTGGATAGAACCCGAGAACAACAAACTTTAGATTTACATATGGGAATTCCATGGGAAACTCTTACTCTTACAGCAATTGGAAGAAATCGAGGATTGTACTTTGACATTTTGGAAGAAGGTACGTACAGTTTTTCTATTTAGATGAGATGGAGCAATTTGATTATAAAGTTACATTAAACAGTACTTTTCAGAGACAAACAGGCTTAATCTTCAACTTCAAAGTACAAATATTTAATTTTCTAATAGAAAGAATTAAAATTGCTCTCTATTGAGATTTCACAAGTGTCACAACATTCCTTTCAGGTGTTATCGGTGCTTGAAGTGGAGGAAAATAAATGGTTGTGTAATCCAATAAGATCCGTTATGTGGAGATGAATCATTTTTGGTAGGTTAGGTTAAATCCAATTACAAGAGAATGGTTTAAAAAAAGAAACATAACTGCTCCTTGAAAATCAGATATTATGAGGCAGCCCTTTCTTCCTGTTATCCATGTAAGTTCATAAAACTACATTGTCTGCTGTAATAATATTTTTATTTCATGATACTCATGTTAGTTGATATTACATCACCTTACTTGAACTTTTGTGATTTATTAATGAGCAATTATGATACAATTTTTAAGGAGTATCAGATAAAATAGAATGTAAACATGTTAGTTTTATAAATTTGTTCCGATCCACTTCAAGCTCTGATCAGTTGTGCTTCAATTTTTTGTCATGGAAATTTTTAGAGAACTTATGTAAATAATGTACAAACTTTTAAAATCGGGATGTAGATATTTATCTTTTAAACCAGCCACATTTTAGAACATTCATGGATCAGTGCAGGCTTATTTGGAAATGGTCTTCAGATACCGTGTATTTGTGTACACAACAATCTTTCTCTCTTTGTAATTTAGTCACTACTAGGGCTTAAGTATTTTCTCAGTTTTTCTATGTAAACCAATCACTTAATATCGAGAAATTTGTTTTTATATGATGCTCACTTTGGTTTGATTGTTTCTAGCCAGGCAAATGGCCCTGAAAGAACATGAAGGGAAAACCATCATGTACATTGCCATGGGATCAGAGTGGAGGCCCTTCGGACACCCTCGCAGAAGGCGTCCTATATCTTCCGTGGTACTGGATGTTGGTGTGTCTGAGAGGATTGTTGCTGACGTTAAAGAATTTATTGGAAATGCCTCATGGTATAGGGAGAGAGGTATGCGATTCAATATAAAATACTTTTTATAGGATTCAAATCAAGTCTTCATTTTAGTGAATTCAACTAAAACATTATACATTCAAGCCAAGGGTAACATTTCTAATAAATGTATTGTTCAGACCGCACAATACATATTTGTTTTGTCGTATTCTAGATTTCAAAATGCATTCCCACACGGGAATTTCCCATTCTAACATGGATCTGCTTATGTGCAGTGCTCTATTGAAGCAGTGTCATTGCTGTCTTGTTACTAGGGGATGAGGGATTCCTAATTGGTCACTAACATGACATCATAATTTAGAGAAAGTAATTTCACCCTATATAGTAGCTTTGCGGAGCTCCATTATGAAATAGTGTTTAGATCTTACGCATTACGCCCTGAGGAATGTCGTAGAATGGCGACCGAAATGTCGGCTCCTTTGCCTTGGATGCAGCGTCACCCGGCCAGCCAATTAAATAATATAGTGGAGCTAGTGGTCTTTATATAAAAGATAACTGCTTCTGTTCCTAAACTAATTTTGTTGGGGTTTGCTGTTTTTTACTGAAAGGTAGAGTATTTTGCCGTAACACATTTTTAAATTTATATATTTATCCTATTCTTTAAAAGAGGAATATTTGTTATTTTATACTAATACACTTTTATTACGTTTTCGAACGTTCTTCCTAAGAAGAGAAAGTTATGTAATTATGCACTGGAAAATGCTTTTTGTAAGGCCCTGCTAACAAAAAGTGGATGAATTCTTTTGCTGTATTTAGTAAATTACTTCCTCTAACGAGTGGTGTAGCCAGAATTCATGTCTTGCGAGTTCTTAATACCAAAAAGTCAATTGAGGGCAAAACCTCTGTTTGTCTGTCCATCTGTGGTCAATGCTAGCACCTAAATCATTCAACTGATTTTCTCTAAAATTCATGTTCTGTAATCAATCTGAATGAACTCGTGTGGCTTTTGGAGTTTCAATCTCATATTTGGATTTTCGAGACTGGTACAAAAACATTTTCAAAATGTTCTCAAAAATCGCTCAAAATTTTTTTTATTAAATATTGTCCTTGAATAAAATAAAGTTCGCATAAGCAATTGTGTTTGGAAGGTTGTGTTAAAAGATTCATGTTTGTTGAATTTCAAGATTTTTCGAAACTTGCCAAAGTGCAATTTTTCTTGGGCTTCTTCCTATAGCTAAAATATTGAAGAAAGATACATTTTCCTCAATGAAATCTGTTCTTTAAAAAGGGATTGTGATAAAAAGTCGTAAACAATTTTTTGAAAATGCAAGTGTTTTCGTGTACTTTTGCATGAAATATAAGCAATTTTTAATTTTTTTTAACCATTTTTTTCTATATATAGGCATCAATTTTTTTCCTTAAATTTTCTTTCCATATGTGTGAAGAGGCAGTAAAAAATATGGTGCTAGTCACATTTTTGATAAACTCACTGAATTTTTGAAAATTGTAAAAAGTTAACATTTCAAAACTACAAAATTAAAGCTAGAAATTTTTGCCTGAGAAAAGGACATTCCAAATAAATTTGCTCTGAATTTTTATGAAAAACCTAGATTTCTCTTAAATGGGGCTTGGAATTAATGACATTTATAAGAAAAATCATTTTCTCAAAACTGCTTCAAATTTTTTCTTAAATTTTTCCCTTGGATAGAAGACAGGATAGTTAAAATAATGGTGCGGGTCTCATTTTTGTTTATCACTCTACATTTTTTTTTAAATTGCAAATTTAGAAATATTTTTTAAAAACTGATAGGAAATGCATTAAAATGAATAAAATGTTGTGAAAAGCCCATAATTTTTTTTTTACTGAAATGTATTTTTATTCATTTCATTCACTGAGAAAGACTTTGAGTCATTGAAAATCAAAATTTATTAAGTTTAAATTTTTATGTGTGCTAGGAGAACACAACTTGCATATTTTTCATCTGGTGAAAACAACAATCGTAAAAAATATGATGGGGCGGAGTAGGAAGGGAATATGTTACGTGTAGAAATTACTCCTTTCTTGTTAAAAATAGAATTATTGTGAGTAATTGAGGATTGGGACTTGGGCAGCTTGGAGTATTTCAGCTACTTTTGAAAATAACATTAAAGAATTATTGAATTAAAGTGAAAAAATTAAGGCTTAGTATGTTTTGATCTGTCAATAATAAAATAAAAAAGTCAAATTGTAATATATTTAAAAATAGATTTTAATTTACTGACCGTTGTTGAAATTATAATATTCATAACAATTCATAATTTAATATGAAATTTTAATAATGAATCATTTTTGTATTTCTGCTTTCAGAAGTTGCTCATTGTTTTCCGAGTTATTGTATTACAATTGTGTATATACCTTTGTAGGAAAAAAAATCAGAAAAGTAACGAAATACTTTTTTTTTGAACAATCAACAAAATTGCCAAAAATTTGTTAACTTAATTTCATTTGTTAATATTTTATTAAACATGTTTTTCTCACATGGGTCCATCTTGTAGAAATAAATGTGTAGTACATAAGCATTTGAAAATACAAGGGTTTCATCAAAATCAGAAGAACGATATTGTACTTGCTAGAGTCTAAGACAGCTCGAATATAAGACGACCCCCTATTGTTTGTTTTTTTACATTAAATTGGGGGGGAGGGGATACACCTGAAAATAAGATGAACTTTGTTTGTGAAATTTGAAATTCATTTCCAACAAGGTAATGAATTTTTTATTCATAATCTGCAGACAGTTTTTGTGATAGAGAGGTTTTTGTAAGAATCCAGGGAAACTTAAGAGTATTATACTTGAGATCATTCACAATACGTGAGGTGGCAGCCTTTGATTCATCACTTCACATATACTTCACATCGGGATCTACAAGGATCCTATGCAGGATCCCTAAAAGCATGCGATAAGTAAGAGGCTTCAACACACCGCTCGTGTGACACAGGTCTTACCATACAGTGAATCCAGTGTTTTAGTTACCAAATATTGATTTCATATCCAATAATAAGAAAAAAAAGGAGTTTCTATTGCAAATGACTTTTTTTGTGAGGTAAACTTGTACTGCACCAGTAACAGCATATCATCTCTATTGCATTTTTCTTCATGTGTGAATTTTTCATCATATGAGCTGCCTCACAATTTGTGGAGGTAGAAAACTGGGGAAATATGCTTATCTTATATTCAGATAAATTCAGTAATTCTAATGCAGATTTTTATTTATTGTAGATTTTATTTTTCTTTGTGTTCAGAGTTGTATGGTTTTTATAGGTATCCCTTACCGGCGAGGATATTTGCTATATGGTCCACCTGGTTGTGGAAAATCTTCATTTATTACAGCATTAGCAGGTGAACTGGAGTTCAGTATATGTGTTCTCAATCTCAGTGAACGTGGTTTAACTGATGATAGACTGAACCACTTATTGAGTGTTGCACCCGAGCAAAGTATTATACTCTTAGAAGATGTAGATGCAGCTTTTGTGAGTCGTGAAGATACAGCCCAAAGTAAGTTTCAGTACTTGATCATTGTGTGATTGAGATCAATTTCTAATTTCTGTCTCACTCTTTGTTCTGATCTGAAGAGTGCCAAATAACCTCATTGACTTGGAGTCTAATTGCTAATAGGTTATCCCATGTTTATCAAGTCAATGAATCGTCTAAGCCTCATAACAATGCAAACCTGGCAGTGGATTTGTTCACGTGCCACTCTGTACCTACCTGTATGTTGAAGCTATTTAAACATCCATAGCATTGTAAATAAATAATCATCAATTCATCGCAAGTCAAATGATTATTAATTAAAAGAACATGGTGGTATAGAAAACAAATCTGATTCAAAAATTCAGAATAAAAGTAACTCATATTAGTTTTTAAGGTAATTAGTATTGTAAATTGTAATATTAATAGTGCAATTAATAAGTGTATAGTAGGTAAATTAACCTCATTTTCCTGTGATTTCCCTAAATGAAACTCTTCTCTGGTAATTACATTTACTGGTGATCTAAAGATATCATGGGAAGTCGACGTGTCAACTTCCTCACCAAACTCATTTCTGAAGGTATTTTTGGGTTCAAGAAAGTTATTTGCATTCATCTTTTTTCGAACCACAGTATACAAATATTGTTTAAGTAGATATATCGCAAGCAACACCTCATAATATTGTAGTGAAGTGCCGCAGGAGCAGAATTCATTTGTTTATTATTGCAATCATGTTGAAATTTTCACATAAATTGTGAGATTTTGTGGTGGTCGATTAAAATTTATAAAAAACTTTGTCCCAGAACATGCTCCAAATTAATGACTAATTTTGTAGAAATTGTTATATATTTGTAATATAGTTTAATAATTATAAATCATCGGTAATAATTATAATTAGTAAGATTTGTAGCACTTGCTGTTTGTGAATATAATAGTAGTAATAATAATAATAATAATAATAATAATAATAATAATAAATTATTGGTTATAATACACACGTGCATATTTATTAAATATAGTATAAATTATTAACTTTTGACCGCTGCGGTAGTAACACTCATAACAATTCTAGGTATGTTAATAGCTATTATTTCAGTGATAATAAATTTATTTACTATAAATTATTTGAGGATTTTTTATTTTCAGCAGAGAATGTTGCTAGTGGAGGGATGTTAAAAAATTCATCGCTTTCCAAACTTTATTTTTTATAACATCGGTATTTCCGAGCACTTCCAGCACTTCCCAAAGAAATGTTTCTTATTTAGTAAAAGTAGTACTATATTAGCAGCGAAGAAAAATAAATTTATTATGTGAAACTAGTTAGAAATTTTTTCAAACTGTTCAGTTGTTCTTTTTTATTTTTGCAGTGAAAACAGCTTATGAAGGCCTAAATAGAGTTACCTTCAGTGGTCTTCTCAATTGTCTGGATGGTGTAGCCTCAACAGAAGCTCGCTTAGTGTTTATGACTACAAATTATTTGGAAAGGTAGTTTCTCGAATTTTATTTTTATATCATATTTAATTGAAAAACCCGGTTTGTTTGAAAAACAATTGTTGAAGTTGGCTCGTTTAATTCTGTGTATAATTTACCACGTATATTCAGTTGTTCCTCCTCTGTATTTCATTAATTCTCTGTTTATACCATCGGGTCTAGGGCTTTTTTCTGTTTCTTCTTACTTAATAGAGCTCTTTTCAAGTCCTTGATTTTAATCTTCTCTGGAATGTACGATGTTAATATTCTATCATCCGTTTTTTGCCTCAAGTTGTGTTTGTTCTTCTTCTTTTGCAGGTGTATGTACATAAAAATATAGTATATTAATTTTTTATCAAAGAGAGAATAATTATTAGAAACAGAATTCAAAGACATTAAGGAAATATTTGAGCATTTTTTACTAAGATGGTTATTGAATTGGGAAATTTTTCGTTACATCTATATAAAATTAAAATTAATTTAAAATCGCTGTCTCCAGAAAGTTCTGTGAATTGTGCTAACAGTTCAATTACTGACATGTTGTACAGCTTTACTGAAAATCTAATTTGATTCGTGACATACTACTTAGAAATTAATTGTGTGTAAGTGAACCAAGTGAAATGTTTAGATTAAAAAGTGGATTCTTTAGAATGGATATTTAAACTGGTAAAAAAATGCAAAATTGTCCAAAATATAAATGATGATAAGGTCATAAAGTAAGGAAGAATGTGATAAAGTAATTACTTACATGTGGAAAAAAGAACAGTAAAAATAATTGCATTGGATGTATAAAAGTATTAACAATATTGGTGTTTAAACCTTATTAACTTTTTTGGGATAATCTAAAAATAGAAATAATTTAGATCATGATACATTGTTTGGGTCCTCGTAATGAAGTGCAGTATTTTATAGTTGAAACAATATAAATGATTTATATGATCTAAAGCAGTTCTTTGATGTTCCAGGCTTGATCCAGCACTTATACGCCCAGGGCGAGTAGATATGAAGGAATACATTGGACCTTGCAGTCCACACCAAATTGAACAAATGTATCTTCGTTTTTATCGTGAGAAAGAAGATATTTTGGGAGCAAAAACATTTGCTGAAGCTGTTCAACAGTGTAAGCAATCTGTCAGTCCAGCTCAAATACAAGGATACTTCATGCTTTACAAAGAAGATCCACAAGGAGTGATGAATAATGTTCAAAGAATATGGACACAATAGTGATATTTTTTGCAAGTGAATTGCTTTGCATTGGATAATGCAACATGCAGTACTTTTATTTAATGATTGTAAATAGAAATTAGATGCACATAGAAATGATTTTTTAATACATTGATTGTGTTCAAAAGCATATTGTTGATTGTTTTTCTTTTGTCGCTCAAAATATCTGATGTTTTTCAGTATAAGAATCATGTCCTTGTCTGCTGCCTTTCCTGAATGCTTAGTTCCCTTAAAACCAAACAAACTAAGTCATCCTGATTACAAAAGATCATCCATATAACATTAGTTTAAAACTAAGGCAAAATTTTATTCTTGCCTTTATTCAAGATTCCTTTAATCATGATATCTCTTTTCAAATATAATTTTGCAAATTATCACTAAATTCTGTTTGCTTGTTAATACAAAAATTGGAATATCATTTGTTAGGAAGAAACTTAACCCAAACATCAATGCTGCATTTCTAAAAGGACATTTTTAGTGAGTTAGAATAGTTGCAGTGGTGGTTGAAAATTGGTGAAAGTAGTGTACAAAAGTAATTCAGTGTGGTAAAATATTTTAATAAAATTATTTATTAAAGATGTTTTTTGTTATTTTGGTAAGAATTTTGTTTATAGTACCTTCTTGACCATGCCACAATTAACTACAATGTATGCAATTGGAAATTCATCTTAACCTTATAATGCAGGGCCATGAGCACAGTAGCATTTCTCAGCAGTGAACAGTGCAGTCAGCGGCACTACAGGAGCTGGCAGTCGCAATTATGTAGTATGCTATATAGTATTTAGAAGTTGTACTCTAAATAAATTGTTGCTTTGAGCTACAACCATGAAGAAATAAATACTAACAGTCATCAATATTAAAATATTTGTGTTGAAAACCACACAATAAGAAAGTAAAAATTCACTTTATCACACTGCTAACTAAAAACAGTGCTCAGCACCTGTGAACGGCACATTGCAAATGTGAGGAAATTTAGGTAAATATTCCTTCCATCTTGAGATGGTTTACTGCGAATGGCAAGGAAAATTCATCCCTTCCAGGCATGGCATACTGCAAGTAGAAGTATGAGAATTGCCCTGTGTAGATGGAATACCTTGCTAAATGGTTAAGTCAGTTCCAGTATGTTGAAGCTTTACTCGGAAACATCTCTGAAGTGCAAGTACCATACCTGTTAACAGCTATTTTTTGACATCAAAGGGAGGAAAATTATTTCGTTATTCAGAAAATGTTGATGAAAAATAAAACTTCCAAAAAACTTGTAATTGTGCATTAGAAGAAATGCATATACATCTAATAACAATCTGAAAATTCAATTCTCTTTCAGTGGAAATCTGTAGCCGGAGATCAATGTGAAGGAAAGGCTAAACTTAAGGGGTATCAGTTTTTCTTCAAAATAATTCTGGATGCATTCTAAAAAACATCTGAGTTATTTATGACCAAAAATAAATATGAGCCCCCCAAAAGCACAAAAGTTAATTGGGTTTTTAAAGATGTCAGTGCTTTGGTTTGTAAGTCAATTTCAGTCAAAGAAGTCCATTCAAGTGTCCGTAAAAAATATTGTTTCAGTATCCAAATTTATTAAAGAAAGTAAGCTAGTTAATTTAGTAAGTTTACTAGCTTCTATTGAAAGTAAGTAAACTTCTAACTCCAAAGTACATCTATCAAATTTTGCTCTAAAGATGTAGTGAATATGAACGTTTCTTCATGTTTTTTAGACAAATTCTCTTCTCCACAGAATTAAAAGATAAAATGCTTATGATGTTTGTATAATGGTCCATTCTAACTGTAACTTATCGTCTGTACTTACTTGAAAATTGAATTTGTAATAGCCTGGTTTTCTTCATAAAATAGGTCAAGACCAGAGTTTAAATGTAGTTTATTTAGTTAAGTAGCCAATATATTATCTCTAATTAACAAAATATTGTGCTTTGAATACAATACATTTATTTTCTGTAAAATTGTGAATATTCTGTGCTTCAAACATGTAGCCAATAAATACCGCTTAACCTTTCAGCCGAGCACTGGCTATTGGCTGTATTGGCTAATAGATTGCATGGTCTATTTCGCGTCACACTGAAGATCAGTCATTAAACTACTTTTGATTAGTGAAGGATTTCATGCCAGCACCCCAAGTTGCACTTACCCATTCATAGAAGTAAAAGTACTTCACATTTAGCAATGCATGTAGATATAGAGAAATTACTCTAAGAAGGAACCACTTTCACAGGTCGGGAAACAAATGAATGAAATTCTGCGTGATGAGAGACTGACAGTGACTGTCTCTTGGACAGAGATCACTGTCCAAGAGACAGTGATGTAGCCATTTATGAGCTAACTGTAAACGAACACACTGACAAAATGAGTGCATGGACGTAACTATTGTCAGAAAGAGCCAAGCAGTAGATGCCAAAGCGGTCCCTACTTATAGTTATGTGGGTGCACAAGCTCCTGAACTACCAGGCCCGCGACAGGCAGTGACTACGAGTCTATTTGCCCTTGGGTTTGGCCTTGCGGCGTAGCGCCCGGAGGCGGCGGCGCAGCAGGATGGCCCTCCACCAGCCCTGGATGCGCCTGGCCATGGCCGTGCGCAGCACCTGCATCTCCTCCTCGCGGCGGAGGCGCTCCTTCTCCTGCTCACGCTCCAGCAGCTGGCCCTGCCGGAACTCGAACTGCCGAACAACAGGGCAGGTATTTTAGGAAAAAGCATCCTGAAACACGTGGTGTAACCAGAATCCACATTTCGTGGATTCTTGATACCGAATAATCGAATGACGGCATAAGTCTTGTCTGTCCGTCCGTCTGTGAACACTACTAGCTCCTAAACCAGTGTTTGCCAACTGATGGAGAAATGTCGGAGCTCCAATCCCTTCCCTGGACACGCGATAGGGGTAGACGGCTGTCGCTGGTGAGGCGTTGACATGCATAGTCATGTATCAAATATTGGGTCTGACAAATTTTTATTTTGTGTTCCTGTGTTATTGGTTCCGGACAAACTAAAATTGTTAAATTACATAACACTATATAAAATATTGTATTGCAATGTAATAACAGTCTTCTCCAATAATGTTATGTATTAGAAGAATGGAAGTAGGCTGGCTACGATAATTGGATATTGTTTTGTGTTATGAAATAATTTATGTTCTACAATGAAAATGAGACCTGCACCATTCTCTTAAACGTCTTTCACCCTATCCAACAACGAAATTTAATCAAAAACAATGGAGTAATTTTTGAAAACTTCACAGGGTTTTCATGTACAGTATAGATAAAAAATAAATAGTGGTTTCAAATTTAAGGGGCGGTGACATAAGCGAGATTGAGTACAGAATATCAATTTTGGAGAAAATTGGCTGAACGGTTTAGCCACTAGCATTATTCACAGA